CAGGAGGAAGTGCCCGTCTGCTTCCTGGCAGCCTCCGGGATCGCTGGTGGTTTCGACCTGAGCACGAACACGCAGCGGGGGGTTCCCCTTTGGGCTTTGTCGCAAGTGCCCACCTCACCCAGCCTGTGCTGCGGGCGCGGCAGCCGCAGCATGTGCCTGTGTGGAGAGCAGGAGCTCACCTCCACCTCCACACGCCGCCCCTCGACAAGAAGAGCCCTTCCCGCCGAGTTTTGCGGGTTGCTTGAAGGCTTCTGATCTCCTGTAGGAAATAAAATAATAGAAATCATAGAATACCGGCTTAGAAGGGACCTCAAGGATCATTTGGTCCCACCTTTCTTGTCAAAAACATGGTCTAGACAAGATGGCCTAGCATCCTGGGCCTTGGATGCACCAGTTGGATCTTAAAAGTGCCCAGTGTTGGGGAATCCACCCCTCCCCAGGAGAGGCTCATAAAATCTAGAACAGTTTAGGTTGGAAGGGACCTCAAATTACAGCTTTGCTCCTTGGATGCCTGGGTCTTTGCTGGTGATTTAGCTTTGAATACCAAAGTTCAGTTTTTCACAGTGAACCAGTAAAAGGAGAAAAAGAATAAGGAGGTATGCTTGCTGATTTTCTTGCTTGACCACCATGTTCCTGCATGGGGTTCTAGCTAAAACTTGGCTTTGCTGGCTCTGAAGGTCAGTATTTCAATGCAAAGCCATAGGCCTCAGGCAACAGTAACTTACTAGGTTGGTAGTGCCCAGATTTATTCTTTCCAGCCAGGATGAGAAGGATAGCAACAAGCAGTGGAGTAATGCAGTTCAAGTTTAGGAAGCAGCCTTAATTTCACAGCTTTTCAGTTTTCTCAGAGGGTATTAGTATGAAACATCAGATGTGCAGAGAGACATCTGACTGTCCTCCAGTGCAAGCAGTAGGTTTGTAACCTCTTTAAAAAATCAGAAATTTGGCTTTCAACTCTGGTGCTTTTGCAGAACAGAGGTTATGAGAAAGGATCCCTTTCATAAAGAGTTTTGGTTCCTGGAAGTGCAAAGCACATAGTTATTTTGCTTGTTTTATTGTTGCCTGAGAGATGCTGCTACAGGAAATCCATGAAAAATCTGTTCTGAAAATTTGGATTTTGGATTCTCCAGTTAAGAAGCAGCTAGCACAGCACTTGCTGCAAACCCTGGCCTGTTCTCTGGGATATATTCCAGAGAGGGCATCCCCTACTTGCTCCGCACTGTTTGAGTTGCCTTATCAAAGGCAACTGGTGATAACTTCGCTATTGTTAATGACAAGCACAATTCACAGTTTTATCAAAGTTTAAATAAGATAGAGATGTCTCTGGTGTGTGGCTAAAATGAAGCATAGCTTATGAGGAGCTTTGTAAAACTTTGCTCAGTGCAGCTGCTTGGATAGAAAATGTTGCGGAGGTTGTTACAGATGAGTTCTAAATATAGCATCATAAAATCAGTAATAGTTTCATTAAAAAGGTAAAAAAGGCTAACTAACCAACATGTGCTGTTCTGAAGTGGTGATAAACAAATCAAGTTTAACTATGATGCTGCAGCCCAAAGGTTGTACTGCCTTACTCGTTGCCAGCACTAGACGACATTCTGATTACTGTCTTTGCAAGATCTTGATAAAATTAATTTGGTGTTTATTTGAATGAGTGGTGCCACAGAACTTTTCTAGGTTAGGTAGGCAAGGCAATCCCATCCTGTATGCTTCTGGGCTCAAAAAATTATCTCCCTCAGCTTGGAGGGGCAGTTTTCCCTATGCAGAAGATCCCCGTGTGATGTGCTACATAGTGGCTTCTAATGGTTGATTTGGAGAAAAGAATTCAGGCCTGTAGAGCTGGCTCAAGCAGCCTTCTGTCAGAGAATGGTGTGACTCACATTCTAACCAGGATTTGTAACTGTGGACTAGCTTCAGCAAAGGGGCTGGTGAGATTCAGAGGTGCAGGTCCTGGATGAGGCCAAGGGAGATCTACATCAGTTGTTGGTCTGGTACAACGTGAAAGTTGTGATGTGGTGTCTGTTCCTGCTGGCTGACAGCCTTCTGTGTTCTTGTTTGCAGGTTGCCTCTCCCTGCTGGTGACAGTGCAGGATGCTGAACGTTATACAACCTTATTTGCCACTGTTGTCCTCAAGTGTGACTATAGCACCTCAGCACAGCTGCAGGACGTGGTAGTGACCTGGCGCTTCAAATCCTTCTGCAAGGACCCCATCTTTGACTACTACTCGGTCTGTAAGTGCCAGGCTTTTTGTCCATGGAATCCTTCTTCAAATAGGAAAGTAGCTCAAGCTTTTGACCTCTTTCTGCCCACAAACCAGGTCAGGTGGTGGTGTTTCCCAGCACTCCAAGAAAAAAACAGATCATGTCTGATTTCCTTTGTAATGTCAAGGTTTTGTGAAATGACACCGTAAAAAACCCAGCCAAAGCAGCTTGTTTGTCCTCCTTGTCATTAACTCGGAAGGCAGAGAGGCTCAGCCATGTTTGACACATATCAATCTTGGCAGGCCTACTTTATGCTTCAGCATGTGTGAAAGCAATGGTCCTGCAACAACTGGGCTTTATGATTCCATGGAGGACCCTGTGGTTTGAGCTAGATACCTGTGACCAGGTGATACTGATTTTAAGGAGTAGAAGAAACATAAGCATTTTGGAAGGCAGAAGGATTTCTAAGTAATAATATTTAGTGCTGGTGGAAGCACTTAATATGCATACATTCTGGTGTGTGCAGCTTTAATTTGGGAGTGTTTAGGATGGTTCATAAGACAGTACACAAACTGCATCCTGAGGTGCCTCAAACACAACATAACCAGCTGGTCAAAAGAGGTGATGATTTTGCTATATTTAGCTTTGGTATATGAAGGTCTTTGAATATATCCAGAGGAGGACAACAAAGCTGGTGAAAAGGCCGGAAGGAATGTCCTGTGAGGAGCAGCTAAGGACCTTGTGTTTGTCTAGTTTGGAGAAAAGAAGGCTGAGGAGCAACCTCATAATGCCCTATGGCCTCCTGAGGAGAGGAAGTGGAGAGGGAGATGCTGAGCTCTTCCACCCGGGATCCACTGATAGGATGCATGGGAATGGTTCAAAGCTGGACCAGGGTATGTTTAGGCAGGATATCAGGAAGCATTTACTTACCGTGAGTGTGGTCAGACACCGGAACAAGCTTCCTAGAGAGGTGGTCAATGCCCCCTGCCTTTCAGTGTTTAAGAGGAATTTGGACAATGCCCTTAACAACTTGCTTAAACTTTCAGTCAGCCCTGAAGTGGTCAGGCAGTTGGACTAGATGATCCTTATAGGTCCCTTCCAACTATCCTATCCTATCCTAGTGTAAACCCTGTAGTATGTTTAAGCTGACCAACCTTAGCTTAACTGGACACTTAAGAGTGAGCTCAGAGTAGGGAGCCTGGACTTGTGTTTGGTGTCTTGGTACCCAGACTCCCCTTTCACAGTTTAGATGGGTTGGGTAGGCTTGTTACCAAGTGCTCTACAGCCTAGACCACAAGCAGGTGAGTCCTTGGCTCTGCTGATCCCAGAATAATGTAAGTGATTTGAACTCAGGCTCAAGCTAATAGCCCTCAATAGGGACAGAAAGCATGAAGATGACAGTGATTGCTTACTTGGATCTGCTCTTCATGATCCATGAAGATGCTCTTCATGTTGTAGATACAACAATGGAGGAGCCTTTGACAAGCTTTGTGGTCTCCTCTCTTCATTGGAAGCCCTTTATAGACAATGCTGACTGTATCAGTTGTCTCCCCAAATCTGAACTCCCAAATACCTGGAAAATAGTTTATATTGTGAGTGTTATAAGAGTATTGGACAGAAATTGCCTCTAGCTCTCCATTAATTCTGTTGGGTCTCTTGACACAATCTTTAGCTAGAATCATGATGCATTCTCTTCTGCCTTTATGAGTTCCACAACATCTAATGGAATACAGCAGGGAAAGGGAGACAATTCCTGCAGTTCCTGTATGTCCAGAGATTTTGCTTGGTAAATGAACACACATTCATTGTAGTTCCAGTACTCCTATTAGTTTTATAAGTTATTTTCTTTGCAGTTTATCTTCACACTGGTAGCTGCCACCCACCCTACCATCATTAGCTTCTTTCAACTGTGTTTCTTTCAGCTGTGAGTACAGAATGCATCTCCTCTGTAGCTCCTGCATTCACAAAACCTCTGCCATTCCTGTGGCTCTGCCTCTGCTTTTGAGCACTCCAACGCAACTTGTCCTTGGTGGTTTAAAGCCATGCTTTGTATCACTAAAGCAAAGCAAATAATGGAATTGTCAGAGCTGGAAGGGACCTCTAGAGATCATGTAGTCCAACTCCCCTGCTAGAGTAGGATCTCCTAGAGCACGTTACTCAGAACTGCATCCAGGCAGGTCTTCAATATCTCCAGAGAAGAAAACTCCACAACCTCCCTGGGCAGCCTTGTTCCAATGTTTTGTCACCCTCATTGTAAAAAACTTTTTCCTCATATTTAAATGGAACTTCATATGTTCCAGTTTGTGCTCATTGCCCCTTGTCCTGTCACTGGGAACTACTGAAAAGAGTCTGGATCCATTGTCCTTGCACCCACCCTTTAGATACTTACAGGCATTAATAAGGTCTCCCCTCAGCCTTCTCTTCTCCAAGCTAAAGAGTCACAGCTCTCTCAGCCTTTCCTCACAGGGGAGGTGCTCCAATCCCCTAAGCATCTTTGTTTCCCTCTGCTGGAGTCTCTCTAATCTGTCTCAAACTGGGGAGCTTACAGCTGGATGCAGTATTCCAGATGTGGCCTCACTAGGGTGGAAGAGAAGGGGAGGATGAGGTTAGGGCTGAATGCTCACATGCATTCAAGATTTTCTCTGCTGCTCACAAGGGGGTAAAAATTGCTCCTTTCAAATAACTTCTTTGATGTGTGTTTGTAGCATACCAGGCTGGTTTAGCCCTTGGCCAGGACCCAGCTGACGACTGCAATGACAGCCAGCGAAAGGTGCGCATTGTCATCCAGAAATATGGGCAGAAGGAGCCTGTGCTGGGCATTGACTACCAGCAACGGAAGATCACCATCCAGAACCGTAAGTGACTTGACTCCCCAGGCAGGGAGTGAACGCAGGAGCTACCTGATATCTGGACCTGCCAAGTGAAGAGACACATAGACATGGCTAATGTCATCTGTAGCTTGTATATTCTGTGAGGTGGTAGCCTGCCTGCTGGCCTGGGGGTGTTGGGAGGCACCAGAGCTGAGGATGCCTGAACGTTTTGTTGAAGAAGGTGAAAGTAATCTGAGGAACCATGGGGCTAGAAAATAGTTCTTTCTTCTGAGAAGTACTGCACAGTTGGCCAGGTGCATGATGGGTTCTCTGGTGTCCGTAGAGCAATAGCTGTTGCTAATGCCAGGAGAGTTATTTGGATGGCTGGCCTAATGGGGACAGTGATCTGTGTTCCAAAACCAGTAGGGTTAGCAGCAGTGGGGGTATCTTTTAACATCCATCACCCAGCAGCATGCTGGTTAATTCACTCCTCACAGAACTAGTCCCACATCTAAATAGTGTTGTCTTCCAGCAACATAAAGGAAAAAGGGACTGGCAGTTGGTGCTGTTTACAGGAGTTCTCAGTGGACTTGAGTGGGGTTGATTGAAGGTGATGGCTATGCATGGGAAGGGGGAGATGCAGTACTATGTCACCTGTATGCATAAGGCCCTTTTTAGAGTGGGGCCTGAGACTGTCAGTCCCAAATAGCCCACTGACCTCTCAGTCCCTCTCCCACAGGAGCAGACCTTGTCATCAGTGAGGTCATGTGGTGGGACCATGGCATGTACTACTGCACTGTGGAAGCACCAGGAGATACCTCAGGTGATCCAGACAAAGAAGTTAAGCTGATTGTTCTCCGTAAGTGCCTGTAGTTTGTTGCCCTAGAGGCAGATATCTCCTCCTGTTCTCTTCCCCACCTCAAGATGTCTCCAGCACTGGAGAGTAACTACTATGCTCAGGTACATCAGGATCCTCTTTCTCTCTTGTTTTTCCCACAGACTGGCTCACAGTACTCCTCATTGTTATTGGTGGCCTCCTCTTCCTGTTGCTGATTGGAATATGCTGGTGCCAGTGCTGCCCCCAGTATTGCTGCTGCCACATCCGATGTGGCTGCTGCCCAACCCGGTGCTGCTGTAATGAAGAAGGTGAGGTTCAAGCAAATTCATGGCTCCTGTCAAGACAAAAACTTGACTGGGAGTTTGATGAGCTCCATCTTCTCCCCTGCCACAACTGATGTGGCTGCTGCCCAACCCGGTGCTGCTGTAATGAAGAAGGTGAGGTTCAAGCAAATTCATGGCTCCTGTCAAGACAAAAACTTGACTGGGAGTTTGATGAGCTCCATCTTCTCCCTCCAGTTCAGTGTCCATATACACTGTGACATTTCTTTGGCCAGTGTGACCTCCATGACCAGCTTGTCTGAGTTTAGAGAAGGGGAGCTAGGGTAAATGGAGCCCATATTTATCCTCTGTGTCCTACTTTCAGAAGTTCCTCCTCACTCACACCTTGCTTCCAACTTCTTTATTTCATCCAGGTCACAATCAGCTTCCTTTTATGAATAGCTCAGGACTTTTCTTCCTTTTCTTGTGGTTCATATGCCTGTGCATGCGAGGAAGGCAAGCAAATGCTTTGGTACTACTTTCCAAACTGGCATAACCTTCAAGTGTGTTGTTCTGAGAAGTAATTATGTAAAAACTGGAGTTTTCTATCTTTGTGTTATTTTTCAGAGCTGCGCCTTCCACAAGAAAAAGTTGTGTTTTTTTCTTTGGGGAAGGAAGTGAGTAGAACAAAAAGAGAAAGATGATCTGTCCTGGTGGTCAACCCTGCAAGTGTGTTCTGGGGTTTTGAGAGTCAGGAGAAACTTTGTTGTGTGTTGCTTTTAGCAGTAAAAAAGATTCTGCAACCAGACCCTCCTCTCTTTAATAAGGCCACTTTTTGAATTTTTGGCTACTGAGATCATACAAACGTTGTGTTCCTTAGTGTGAAACTTAGTAGCAACACAAGGTGGACTAGCCCTCCTGTAGCTTACACAACCTTCCAGGAACAAAATGCAACAAATAAATATATTTATCAGTGAAATGACTAGATTCCTCCCCAGATGCTACAAGGAGAGACTATGAACAAAGAGCTGTGTTTCTGAATTCTCTTTATTGCAAAAGACCTCTTTGGCATACCTTGGGTGTTAGTAAGCTGCAAGAGTTTTAGATTTAAGCTTAATTTGCTTAGCCCTTCCAGAGAGTGAACAGAGCATCCCTATTATTGCTAAAACCAAAAAACATTCTGGGGGCTTTACAGACTGTCAAGTAAAATGTGTGGTGGTGAGGAGGCTATGGAAATTTGGCAGAAAAATTAGTTTTCTTTATGAAAGAAAAGGAGAAAGGTGATTGAGATAAGACTCATACCTCCAGACTTCCTAGTTCTCATCAAAAAAGGGATTCAGAATATGTATGAGTTCTTTTTTGTTTTCTGTAGTAAATGATAGCATAATCCTGACTGTTACTGTTGTATTTCCTGCCTCCTATTGAGGATAAGTGGAAGGGATTCTAGCAGGGTTTCTAAAACCTCTCCCACTCATGAGAGAAAGTACTGACAAGTCCAGCCTCCTTGACTGACTGCTGGATTCTGTGGCTGCAGTTTACATCCCAGCTGCCTGCCCTCCTTACCCACTGTGCAAAGGTTCCATGTGCCTGCTCCCCTCCTCCAGTGCACTTGCTCTTCACTTCATCCTGCCTCTGATTTACTTTTCTGCACTTCAAGAAATGAACTGGAGGCCTTAAAAAACACAGAGGGCTTCTTAAAAAACACTCCTGAGGAATAACAGTTCCACACAGCTGAAGAGAAGGCAGAAATCCTCAACTAAGTCCTTGGAGTTAACAGTGCGAGCAGAGTATGGATGGTTTCTTCCCAATGATTGGCCACTAGAGGGTAGCCTAGATCTGCTGAACAGAAGCAAGATAATTTTAAGTCAGGTCAGTAACTAATACGATTTTGAACCTAGTAATAAAAGAAGTGCGTTGTTTGAGTAATTCAGAATTGGTGTACAGAAATATTAAACATGCCCCAGGAGCAAACCAATTATATTCCCCATGGAAGGCTCTGAGAAAAACCCACCAGAGTAAAGATACATATGACCTTCTTCTGTTCTTATTTGTTCCTTTTCTACTGTGGACTTCTTCCACTAACGAATTTGTGCAAAATAGGATGTACTTGCATCTGGATCTGACTAGGTAGGAAAATATTTTTTTTAATCATTGAATAATTGGTT